TTAAGACCTGGGGCATCTGCAAGAACAGCAGCAGTAGGTTTGGCTTGAGATATGGATTAGTCAAAAAAACTAATAGTGGCAGTAGATCTGGTTTGAGATACAGATTTATTGTAGATTCTGGACTATTGTTAGAACACCTTAGAGAAATCAATAACAGGCAAACCAAAGATAGGAAGATTATAAGGATCAGACATATTTGAGTAGGACAAATTGGGAGTGATATAGTAATGAAAAGGTGAAAAATATGGGAAACAAGATAATACTAGATATAGTTAGATTAGAAGGCAGAAGAAACAAGACCAGGTAAAACATGTGAGTAGGATATATGGATATGATTTACAGAAGACAGTACTCTTGGCATTTGTGATGCTGCATTAAGTTTGGTAGGTATTCTTGTTTGTGTAGCAGTTTAATATATACTATAATCACAAGTAGTTGCCAAGGTAACTGCATGCAGGCATGCAGCAGATATGCACTTAGATGCCATAAGGGTAACCAAGTAAAGTCAGTGGTGTTAAATTAGATAGTATATAGTACTAGTAATAATCGATTCTAAAAATGTAACTATAAATTTGTATTATATCAAATTAAGGCTAATAAAAACCAACTGGCATTGTTGCCAAAGTTAAAAAAAAAATAAAAAATAAAAAATAAATTTAGATAACTATGTTTTTACAATAAAAACACAATAAAACAGAATTCAGTAAATATTATTTAAAAGAAGACATGAAAGATTTGGTTCAAGAACTAGAGTTTCTACTGCCACTAGAAGCCATTAGTAAAATTTAAAATATTCATTATGTTAAATAATACACAATTTAATATATTATATGAGTAAAATTATATAATAGTAATGATAGTTCAAATGTTAGTTTGAGTAGCATTTGAGTTATACTATTCAATATAACAAATATTTAAATATTACTAGTAATTTTTAGGTATATATTGATTTACATTTTTTTCTTCTAGCTACATGAAATAAAGAATTTTATATATAACCTAATCAAGAATTAACTAATATTGAGGCATTAGATAAATCTATGGCTAATAATATTTATTTATAAAACTATAAGCTTTGCTTATACTACTAATAATAAGAGATGCTATATTATTGTTCATTATGAAATTCTCACCTGAGCCAAATCCAAAACAGAATTTATTAAATGCTATTTTCATATATTAATAATTATACATTAAAGGTTTTGCTTAGGTCACATTTTCTTAGTCATAATTCTTGTTATATGTTTGGGACCAAATCATATTTTCTTGTTACAACATATATATTAATTAAAATATAAATATATGTTATATGTTAAATTAATATTTGCATCAGATTAAATTAATTACAATTCTGCTAATATCTATCTTTATTCTAACCAGGCTTTATTCTACCTTAATAAGATTCAGTACTTAGATTTTAATTTAATGTGATACTGTTAGAAGCAAACTTGAAAAGGCTTCTCTACTTGAGACATTTAATAATATAGTAAGTATATTTTTACTATTATTTTACTGTTTATTATTACACTAAATTAACAAACTAAATAACAACTAACATCTTTATTTAACAACAACAGTTTCTTTATTATAATCTTTAGCCCTTCCTAGGCACTACAAAAATATCAAAGGATCCAAAGATAAGTATAAAGTTATATTTTACATATGTTTTTATATTATTCATTAACTAATTCTTATTTTTTTATTTAGGTTTTTCTTACTAATTCCTACTATCTAATTGTTTACTATATTATTACTCTAAAACCTCATTGTCATGTATTCAAATTATGCCTAATTTAGTGCAATTAGAAACAGAATAAAGTTAGATTTTGAGTTTATTAACTTTAGCATTAATTACTTAAGCCACTTAAATTCTATTTTCTATATAAGCATAAATATTTATATATTAAATTAATAAGTTTAGATAAGAAGTATATTAGATTATATAATGAACACTATAATATCATAAATTTTTATATTTTAAGCTTAAATAATTGCATTATGTATATTTTATTTTAAAAAAACCCTTTAAATCATTTATTTGACCCTAAAAACTATTATTTATTATTGAGAAAGCTAAATATTAATTGTAAAAAATAGTGCTTTCAAATTAGCTGAAAACAAATTATTTAATAACCACTTGGTCTTCTAATATTTTACTATATATTCTTGATTAACTAATAACTTATTATTAATATCAGTTGGTTCTAAACTTGATAAATTATTTTTATCAGAATTATTATCAGAAATTGATGTCAATAATGTAATAGAATCTTCATTATCTTTACTAACATTATCAATTTCAATGCAGCCATCTTTACTATTAGTATCTTAGATACTAAAAGTTGTTAAAATTAATTTATAAAACTTTTTGAGTTCATCTAATTCTTGAACCTGATAATCATAATTAAAAATTCTATGTAATTGGCTAATTGCTAATACTTTTTGAAATTATAAAATACTTAATTAAAATAAATTAAATAAAAAAAAAATAATAAAATAAAAATTTACTAATAATATATTATGTTGATTAGAGTAAATAAATTCTATTAATAACTAAAGCTATTTAACAGATGCTGCATTTATACATATTCTATAAATTCGTAGTGCCACATATCCTAGTTCTTTAGCATATAATACACAATAGCTCCAATATCCAATTACATTATTACTAAATTGTTTTGATGTTGTTGCATTAAATAGTAATTATTTTTGGCAAAAATGCTTCTCATAAAATTGAATTTGATTGTTGACCAAACTATTCATAATAGTAATATTTAATATATTCATCTATATTAATTTATGTTAAATTTTCTAATTCAGAATTAAATTTTTTTATTTGATATATTGGATAAAGAACAAAAAATAAAATTAATAAGGTTTGTTCTTAGAAATTCTATCACTTTTCTAGACAGTTTAAAAGTCATTAGCCAAGATTATTATTATAATATTCATTGGTCATTTTAGCCAAATAATCAAAAGAGTACAATACTTCAAATAATCATGCTTTGTTATATTGTAACAAGTTGATGCAAGCACAATAAGGTAACAATAAAGATTTAATATTCTTTATTTGTTGTCATTAGTTATTATTATTTATAATATTACATATTTTGCTTAATAGTAACAAATCAGAAGTACTTTGAAAATTAAAAAATTTATTACTCAAATCATCACAAAGCTCATATTTTGTAACTAATATCTAAAAATATTTAGATTAATAATTAATTAATAACAATAATAATTTACTAATTTAATCAAATTATTTACTTTAAGAGTTTTTTTTGTTTTAAGAAGACTTTCTAAACAATAAAAATAAGAATTCTATTTGATTATATCTAGCTTAATAAGAGTTATATATTTATAATACAAAATTTTTTGCTGTTCTCTTAGTTTTTCAATAAAATATGCATAATTAACGTTTCTAAAATACAGTATTATAGTAGTCATATTGTCAATCAACAACAATATTGTTGTTGAAAAAGGTATATTATGCTTTGTATATAACATTATGCAAAAATTTAATAACAGAATAAGAAAATTAATTTAGCATTTACATTTTGCTAGAGGTTTGCATTGGTTTTGCAGCCCAGCCTGACCTAGCATACAAATTTTTGTGAGCTAGGCCAGGCTCAAAGCAAAATTTTATAATTGCAGATTGAGCTGGGCTGAAAAATTTGCAAAACTTTATAATTGCAGGCCTAAAATTTTGTAAAATTATATAAAAAATTTTTGCAGACTGGGTCAAGCCAGGCTGGGCTAAAGAAAAAATTTAATATATGTAGGTTAGGCCAGGTTAGCAAAAAAATTATAATCCTAAATGCGGGCCAGACTAGGCCTAAAAAAAATTTTTAACTCTAACTGTGGGTCAGGCTAGATCTCAAAAATAGGCAATTTGCAGATTTCTACATTCTGCTATTCAATTTCCAACTGAACTTTAATTCTTGCATAAGTGTCACTTACATAGTAAAATATGCAGTTTATTCACCTACTCATCTTTGACAAATTGCAATTTGCCTATCCACTCATTTTTAAAAAATTACAATTTGTCTGCTAACTCATACACTCTTAATAATATTCTTAATACTAACAAGAACATAATCATGTGATATTCAAAATTTTACTTTCACAAAAATGATTTGTATTATATGAAAGTTTAGATCACATGATCAATATAATCTGTTTTACACTGATGAATCAAGTAACAAAATAATTAATTAAAACATAAGAAATAAAAGATAAAAAATAAATAAATAAATAAATTAAAAAAAAATTAAAAAATTAAAAAAATTAAAAATTAAAAAAATAAAAACTCTCAAAATCACTCTTTCTGACAATCCCTCACACCAACTTTTTTCAAAAGTCTGACCTACAAAAACTATATAGTTATTATATTTAAATATAACAAAACTCTACTTTGGGATAACTAAGAAGGCTATTCACTGCATGTT